AAGGAGATGAACAATGACAATTCTTTACTTTATGGATTATGTTTAATTGTGTAATTCCCCCCATTATGTTGCTCATAAGTGGAACATTCCATCTGCATTAAAGACTGGATCACACCATTAGGGACCCACCCAGTGGGCACAAAAGAAGTTAAAAAGATGTTTTTGCCAGATGTTAATGGGACGTCTAGATTCTGCCCAGAATCAACTGTTTGGCTTTTGTACAAAACGTCAACTTAATACGGACCAAAAAAAGGACATTTAGTGGCCAAATCAGTGTGGTACATAACAGTGTCTTTTTATGGTCCAATTTAAGGCAGGCCAGTCTGGCTCAATAATCGACGTCAATGGACGTCTCTTTTCAGTCAGTGGGTAAGAGTTGGACAACCAAGCTATGAAGCAGCACGGTTTTATAACAGGAAAAAACTGAAAAACAAAATAATTGGGTTTTTTCAGATAAGTTTGACTTATTCACCAAATGCTGGCACTGAAGACATCATTGTTTTATTTTGAGTTGGTTTACATGGAGTGCAGTTCAAACTCCCTGTTTAAATGTTCTGATTTGTGGCACCATGAAAGAAATTACGCTGCTGCACATGGCAAGACGAAAACATCACTGACTCTAAACAAAGTTTTGATGTTGAAGGCCAGTCTTCAAATCACATTTTCACAACAAACAAAAACTTGTTAGATGTTCACTGATTTTCCAGTTGAATATCACAAAATGCCTTTGGGAAGTTTGTGTCTAGTAGGTTTGGGGAATGTCACAATATTCCACTGCCAGTCAAAAGTTTTTCTTTATGTTTTCTTGCAGATTTCCCACTATTACCCTGTTAGCGACGTTGTCAAAATGTTCGGTAATAGTTCTGTAACAGCTCAGAAAATGTTAAGCATAATGTTACAAAAAATAACGTTTCTACAACCTTCTGAAAGCACATCATGCAATAATGTTTCCATCACGTTTTAATTTTTGATGTTCTTTGGACATCACTCATGCAACCTCCCAATTTTGGCGTGTTTGAATGGATTTGGTGAATTTCTGCTTGGGAAAGAGAACACCTGACATGCTTACGTTCAGTTAGCTAGCTAATTACTGAGCGGTAGAAATGTAGCTAGCTAGCCATTATTCGAAAGCAAGACGAAACCATCTGGAATAGAGACATTTTTCAGTCAGATGTGTTGGTTCATTTTTTTACTAAAAGGCCCTGTATGACTGTAAATTACACTATAATCAAACTTAGCATTGACAAGAAACCAAATCACTATACTGGGAAGCAGGAACGTTGCATCACACCTGCTGAATTCTGTCAGAAGTATCAGAAAATGTTGTGAATACCACAGAATACCAATCTTCTGAGAAAGATGAAGATGTTTGAAAGTAGCATAACATTTTGCAAAAGTTCGTGCTAATGTTCCTGCAACTACAAATGTAGCTTGTTATCTAAAAATGTTCTCAGAACACCAGGAAAACTTCACAACTTGAGTAGCACCGTGTTGAGACTAAATAATCCCAAACCTTCCTAGCTTTGCCCCTAATAGCCTGCAGTATGTAGCCTGTAATCATCCCTATTTAGATTCCCATTTCAAAAGCACTAATATCATTATAACGACCCTGAAAAGCTTCGGCGGACGTCAAGTGCCTCACAAAAGCCGCCGTCATTCCCCAAACCCCCTCCGCTGCTCACTTTGCCGATTCTTTTAGCCACAGAAATGGCTGTGTATGGACTGAGACACTTGTTTGAATGTGCATTGAGGTGACAGGCAACAATGGCAGACAAATGTGTTGCAGGCTTATCAACAGCTGTTCCTCACACACCCCGCGCGGGGGGGGGGCTTTCTCTCGTTTCAATGGAGCGCTGGTGTGCTCGGAGAGAGCGATACAATATCCCCATCCATCTCTATTGTTGCTGACGCTGGATGCTGTTTGTGGTCATGCGGTCGCCGTGGGTTTATCCGTGTGAAGGAGATGGAGAGGCCTGTTGTTGCTCAATGGGATTATAGCGGTTTAATTGAGTGTGTGTAAATACACCAAGGAGGGCAGCGAGGGATCAATAGGGCAGATGCAGGAGGAGATAAAGCTCGCCGGTTCATTCTGAAGCATATTCAACACTCAATTATCCTATTCAGGGAGGCGGAGACAGAGGGACGGTGGCACAGATGGCCAAGACGTAGAGAGAGAAACAAAGAGTTCGGACTATTTTCTTTGCAGGCATCTTTTCTCCCGAGCCAATTTAGCGTTAAATAACGGGCTCTTTATTGGGTATTCATGAGTTGTGAACACGCTGCACTTTTAGGAACGTGAATGAAATGAAGAATGACAGAGGTGCCAATCCGTTAATACGAATTACGCTGAAAAGATGACAATTCACCCCACAAATCCTTTAAAATGACGTGACCCAGCTCCGAATCTATCACTTTAAAGAAAAACAGGGATTGTGCCAGGCACAAGGGGCGTGTCCCGTTCGTATCCGTATCCCAAGAAACACCTGAGGCCTGCTGCCCAACCGTCTGTCGTTCTCACTCCTTATCCAGGCGAACAAAGAGCGCCGTTTGAAAAGAACACGGCAACAATTACCCCTTTAAAGCCAACTGAAACTGTCACTCCCTTTCCACAAAATCCCTCACACAAGCACAAACACACATAGACAATGCAGCGGGGCAGAACTCAACCCATTCCATGAATATAGGGCCTCCATTACTTTTCACCACCCTCTAAACCACAATGGTTCCCATGCTCACGGCATTATTACCTGTGAATACGGCACGTCAGATAAAGCAAGAGGCATGCCGTTAGTCACGCTAATTTGTCTCTTTATCCCGCTAAATGCCCTTTCATTGTAATAGACTTCTAATTGACTTTGGCAAATCTGAGAGTGAAAAAAGTGCTGAGACTCAATTGATTTCACCTAAAAATGGGAGAAGTCTGTGAGCCTAAGAGCACAGTGGAGCCAAAAAAAAAAAAAAAAAAACATGCTTACGTAAAGAAAAAAAGAAATAACGTAGTCCTAAAACCATTTAGAGAGGTATTCAAGAGCAAAAAACAAAAATTTTAAAAACAATATAAAGAACCTTATACATTCACAACATATCATTTTATGGCTTTTATAGCAATAAAAGTCATTACGAAAGCAGATGAATATTAATACACTAAAGAAGGGCTCTGTAGATAATTCAGGGTTCTCAGCTTCTTACTGAGGTTCCTCTTGGAAAGTTCTTCTAAGAAAAGAGCTATTAAGGGTAAAAAAAAAAAAAAATACAATGAAGAACGCATGCAGATGAAACATAAGTATTATATTTATACAACATTACATCACATACTGTACATCAACTCTGAAGCAGTATAAGATACAGTATAAGACCACCTTCAATCATGTAATGGAAATTAGCAGTAGAAGAAATATTAGAAACTGAACAAATATTTTTTTTAAAAAAAGAAAAGAAAAGAAAGGAAGAAGCTGAATTTAAAAGAAGATGAATTAAATGAAGAACATTTTCCAAGAATTCATTGAATGTAATATATGAAAAGGATAAAATTAGATAAATATACACTGCTAGTCAACTCTGTAGTACCATTTTCAAAGTTAAATCCTCTAGAATTAGAAAATCTGAGCGAGTAACAGACATAGGTGAACAGAAAAAACGTTTGCGACTTTTATTTTATTAGAAAATCCTGAGTGACGAGGTTACGTGATGAAGCAGAGTTACTGTATTTGCCAATGTTTCAATTTTTTTTTTTTTGAATTAAAGAACAAAACATCAATTTTTTATTACTTTTAATGTTGTGGACCATCCAAAATACAAGTTAGTTCCTGCTCTCACTTACGTTATAGCAGCAATAAACCGTCATTCCTTCACCGTGCTCTATTTTTTTTTCTCTTTCTTGAGGTTAGTAAGACAAAAAACACATCAGATGTGGAGGAAAACTTCCTGACTGTTCAAAAAAAAAAAAGCACTGACACTGGAGACTCCTTCCATAAATGTTAAATAAATGTCATTACAGAAAACTTCACCATGTCAATATCATCGATTGTATGTTTTTCTTTCTTAAATAACAGCACTGTTTTTAATCTGGTTTTTATTAGTCTTAGGTCACGTGGAGCGTCCCAGTGTGCGCGTTGGTATTAGAACGAGCGCATTAATATGAAACTACCGTCAGAGCCGCTGCTATAGAAAATTAATCAACACCTTGGGACCAGTCAGAGTCCAGAATACAACATGCAGTGGTATGAAGAACATTAGCATTATTTGTCTCTACTCTACTTATTAAATCCTTCATGAGCTGATTGATGGTCTTTGGTCTTTGGGAACCAAAGTGGTGTATTCATTTGCTTTTGAATTTTGTTGAAAGCTACTGCATTTGATTTATGTGGGATAATAAGTTGTGAAAATGGTGAACAATGCTTTAAAAAAAAAAAAAATCGAACACTCGTGAACAGGGAACCTTTGTGTGTTAGTTAACTGCGATAACATGACAAATGGTGGATTAAACCTCGATAATCTCTTCCGCTACCTGTAAGATAAAGTGTGTTTATCCCGTGTTCAAGGGCACGTAATTGAATGTAATAGCTTTTCCTGCTACTTCCACACTTTTCCGTCCCATTCAAGCTGTTCTGAAATCAGTCAGGAGGAAAAGCAGCAGATACCGGAGAGGAAGGAACCACAAGACAAAGACTGGCCTTAAATCAGTTCAGAGCCGAAGGGGTTTGGCAGTCCCACGCTGGGAGACTCCGACATCCCACAGTGCACTCGGAGCATAAATCACATCACTGACGAGCTGAGAGGAAGAGGAGAGAGTGACGGAGGAGAGTGTAAGTGTTAAAGAAACCTCATTTTCAGACTCTTAATCCAGGATCAGATAGTGGTGTGTTTCTGTCAATCCCAGGCGAGAAAATAACTAAAGCCTCTCCATTGAGAAGGAAGACGTTAAACAGGCTTAGAACCCAAAAAGTGGGGTATTGTTGAGGTTGTGATTGTTGCTTTGTGTCTGTATTAACCACCCTTGGGGCAGTCGTGGCCTAATGGTCAGAGAGTCAGGCTTGTAACCGGAAGGTTGTGGGTTTGAGTCTCAGGTCTGGCAGGGATTGGGGTGTGAATGGTAGGGGGAGTGAATGACCAGCGCTCTCTTCCACACTCAATACCACGACTGAGGTGAGACCCTTGAGCAAGGCACCGAACACCCAACTGCTCCCCGGGCGCCGCAGCAAAAAAAGGCTGTGTGTATGTTCACTAGTGTGTGTGTGCACTTGGATGGGATAAATGCAGAGCACAAATTCCGAGTATGGGTCACCGTACTTGGCCACAAGTCACTTCACTTTCATGAATAATTTAAAAACATATCCAGATTTTTTAAAGATGTCTTTTAGTATTTATGTTTCTAAATATTACTTGTATTAAACAGCAAAAGAGTCCATGAGTGAAAAAGGATGAATCATAAATAGCAGAAATGAACAAAAATAGATCTTTCTTTGCTTTTGTTTATAAAAAATAATTCATAATTCAAACATTCAAGGCTAAAATGTTTACTTTTGATGACCAAAATGAGAGAAAATATAATTTTGAACAAAATATAGCAATATTCTTGACATTTACACAGTGAAGGAATGTTGAATGATGCAGCTGATTTTGGAAATCAAAAAGATCTACCTTTAATTAAAAAAAAACCAAAAAAAACAACAACTATTGTGTTCTCTGGAGCGTATCACAGTTCTTTATTTATTTAATTTGGGATTTTGTATAGAAAGTGTGTAAAGATTTAAGATTTGTTGTGATATATAATCATAAAATATTGTGATTAGAATATTTCCATCTCACAAAAAAACATCCTGAAAACTAAAAAAAGCAAATTTAACTGTGTTAAGTTTAAAAATGGTCGTGCTCTTTCCGTGTCCATCCCAATCCTAAAGTCTTAAAGGAATAGTGTGGGACTAATCTATATCCACTGCATCTGTAAGATCCGTACCATGGACAAGAACCTTCATACATTTCCCTGCATACAGAGAAACGAACAGAAAAGCTGTTTACTAGAAACTCATTTATAATGGAAGTCAAAGGGCAGTTGTTAAACGTTGTCAAATATAACACGGATAAAATACTACAGCTGTTACACTCTATAATTAAGGTCTTACGAGGAGACAGACATGAGAGAAATTCTTACCAAATCTGTTCCTTTATCCAACTTTCCCACACTGGAGCAATGCAGTAAAAAGTAGTTCGGTTACTTTACACTTTGCTGAAGGTTTTGTGGTGTCCATCCAAGCTACACAACTAAGGTCAGGTCCATAAATATATGGACACTGACAAAGAATTTACTGTTATTCTAGCTGTCTACCACAGTCTGTTGGAGTTTGATATTGATATTGGACTTCATTTTAATATTCATTATTCATCAACCAATTAATAACTGTCAAAGTGCAGATTTTCAGTTTTAATCTGAGGAGATTTACATCAAATCAGATGAACGGTGTAGGAAATATGGTGTAGAATTTTTATATATGTGGTTCCTCTCTTTAAGGATCTTGTAATTGGACAAACTAACAACCAGAAATTGAGATTTTTTAACACTTGGTTGCAAATCAGTTTCTGTAAATGACTGCCTGAAGTCAGGAACCTATAGCCATCACCAGATGCTGGTTTCTTCCCTGATGAACCTCTGCAAAGTCTTTACTGCAGCTGTCTTCACTTCCTGCTTGTTCTTGGGGCATTTTTCCTTCAGTTGTGCCTTCGGCAAGTAAAATGCAGGGGTCAGGGGATTGACTTGGCCATTGCAGAACATTCCACTTCTTTGCCTTAAAAAATCTTGAGTTGCTTTTGAATTATGCTTCAGCTCTTTGTCCATCTGCACTGTGAAGCACCTTCCAATCAGTTTTGAACCTTTGGCTGAATTTGAATAGATAATATAGCCCTATACACTTCAGAATTCATCCTTCCGCTTTTCTCAGCAGTCACATCATCAATAAATACAAAGAAACCAATACCATGCCCACACCATAAGCCGAGGTGCTATGCTTCGGATCATGAACAGTTCCTTCCCTTCCCTTCTCAATTCAATTCAGTTTTATTTGTATAGAGCTTTTAACAATGGGCATTTTCACAAAGGAGTCTTACAGAAATAAATACATTCAAGATATAAATTTTAAGTATACGAATTTATCCCTAATGAGCAAGCCAGAGGCAATGGAGGCAAGGAAGAACTCCCTGAGATGACATGTGGAAGAAACCTTGAGAGGAACCAGACTCAAAAGGGAACACATCCTCATCTGGGTGACACTGGGTAGTGCAATTAGTAATAAATCTCTTCTATAACTGTGTACTACATGGACAAACAGTGCAATTGTGTAACCAGGAAATTCATTACAGTTTTCGCATGAAGTCTGTTCGTTGAACTTACCCACTGTTCACTGATGGAGACTTGAGTGCAAAACTGTTCGTAGCAATTGCAGTCCTAAACTGCTGTCGCCCCCCCGCTCTCACACGTTCACCCTTCTCCACCCCCTTCTCTTCCCATCAATCTGCTACAAGTTGATCTATGTCTCATCTGCCCATAGGCTGCTGTTCAGAAATGTACAGGCTTTTGTTTTTTTTTAAGATGTTTTTGCCAAACTTTAACCTTCCTGTTTTTGAGGCTTACGAATCAAAAGACTTCTCTTGATTGTTGACTTTGACACAGATATATCTACCTCCTGGATGGTGTTCAGGATCTGGCCAGCTGTTCTGAAGAAGTTATTTTTCACCAGGGAAAGAATTCTTCTGTCATCCACCACAGTTGTTTTCCATGGTCTTCCAGGCCTTTGGGTTTTCCTGACCTCACTAGTGAATTCTGTGCTTTTTAAGAATGTACCAAATAGTGGATTTGGCCACACCTAATGTTTTTGCTATCTCTCTGATGGGTTTGATTAGATTTTTTAGCCTAATGAAGCTTTGCTTCACTGGTAGTGACAGCTCTTTGGACTATGGAGCAACAGATTTCAAATGCAAACGCCACACTTGAAATCAACTCTGGACCTTTTATCTGTTTACTTGTGAGTGACATAATGAGGGAATAATACACACCTGGCCATGGAACAGCTGAGCAGCCAGTTACTAAGTCCAATTACTTTTGATACCTTAAAAAGGTCACGGCCACTTATTAAAAAAAATAGTTCTGTAACTCCTGCATCATTCACCCGATTTGTATATAAATAACTTCAAATTAAATCTGAAAGTCCGCACTTTGAGTTCAAATTCATTATTTAATTTCAACTCCAATATACTTTGGTAGATGCTACAATATTTATCAAATATCTAAATATTTATGGACCTGACTGTACACTGATAAACACATAACCACAAAATCTTTCCTCTGGACAAGTAGCTCCATCTCTGAAAGGGTGAACTTTACAGATTTGTACATTCGTTTACAATAATAAACTGTTCATAAACGCATTCTACAAAAACACAGTAAGAGTTTTTAATGGTAATAACAGAGTTTAACATCTGCACAAACTCGTTTATAATGCAACAGCTGACTTCGATTACAAGTGAGTTTGGGGTAAAGAGCTTTTCTCTTCTTTTCTCAGTGCAGGGAAACGTGTTGAAATTCTAGCTAGTGGTAATCACACACACAACAAGAACTACTTGGAGAGGGAAGAGCTTGAAAAATTCTGGAGTGTTCCTTTAAGATCTGCTGAGCAGTAGCTTTTAAGCTTTCCATGGTAAAGTTTAAAGGCAATCAAGGCTTTTCTGATGCTTTCCCAAGACTTTACAACAGTTTACTACAATAGACATTTCTAAATCTAATTTAAGAACTCCATATTCGCAGGCATTTGAGCCTTCCTAAAGTCTGTAGCATCTAGTCTATTTTTATCCAGTGTTGTCACACTTTCTTTGTCTTCTACTGTTTTATTCAATCTAATAAATTATTTTATGCATGTCTTGTATTATTGGATATTACTGTGTGGCACTTTGGTCTCTGTAAATGTGCTGTGTAAATAAAGTGACATGATTTGACTTGTTAAAATAACATCATGTTAAAAGCATTCGGGCCTAAGTGATGTTCGAATAACAGTTTTATTTTATGATGCTGATAAAAAAAAAAAAGATTAATGTTTGTCAGAAAACATTGTTGATATTTTTAGGTTCAAGACTCCAGTCAGTGTTCCCAGCTTAGGTTGGCAACATAAAACATGTATTTCGTTGTGATCCTGTTTATCAGAATGAACTATCATGGTTATAATGTCAAGGTAAATAATTAGCAGTTCTGAGTTTTGGAATAAGAATACAGTTCTTCTTTAATTTAATTTTATCCATTACGCTTTTCACAGTAACATTAGCTGTTTTTCTTTTGGTTTTTTTGTCAAATGTAGAACTATACAGTCTTTGGACAAGTTTACACAGTTCAATGGTTCAAGACAGAAACCAGAGGCAGCCATTTACAGAATATAAATATTAGTAATTAGATTAGATGGTCAAAAAATTTATTTATGATAAAATACATTACATTTGCCATGTACAATCACTAAGAAATTAGCTAGACATCTTTACAAATTAATTCCCAAGATTAAGAAAAGGTCAAGTTACATAAGTATGTTTTTAACCCAGATTTAATACTGTTAATGAACTGGCCTTCTTGATGTTCTCTGAAAAACTATTCCAGAGTTTAGGGCCGATGTAAAAAAAAAAAAAAAACCCATCTTCCACAAGCTGAACTGTAATTGATCCTCAGAGCTAAATCGTTCAGAGCTTAAAACATCAAAATCTCTTTCCAGTTGGACTGATGTAGCTTAACCTCCGTCCAACACCTTATCAGTGGTTTGGCTAGGACTAGCTGAAGAAATATTTCATGATTTTGATTAATGTCTGACTGAATTAATGGAGGGAATGATAAAGATAAAACCATAACAATGTCTTACAGAGCTCGCTATTGATTAAGCTCAGATTAACGTCAAGAGCCAATTTGGATCAGATTTCAACCCCATGTAGAACTTAGCAGTCGAACGTATTTATATTTGCAAGGTTCCAGATAATTCAGTCATGATCCTAGAAATGACTTATGTGTTGACTTTGTTTTGAAGGAAAACACACAACACTTGTGAGAACTGG